TTGTCTGTCATCCACTGTTTCTGCTGCTTTTTTTTTGGCTACAAGTATCGTCTTTTTATATTCCTCTTTGACTATATCCCTGAATTCCGTCCATAGTTCTTCTGGTTCTTGGTTAACTAGGCTTAATAATGCAAATCTATTTCTCACATTGTCTTTAAATTCTTATGGGGTGTTTTTTAGATCATAATTTGGCAAGGAGATTGTTTTGGTGTTCTTCTTCAGCTTTATTCTAATTTTGGATATTCGTAGTTCGTGATCTGTGCTATAGTTTGTCCCTGGTCTTGTTTTTGCCACAAGAAAGGAACTTCTCCCTCTTCTGTAACCTATTATATACTCTGTTTTTTGTGTTGACCATATGGTAATGTCCATGTGAACAATCTCCTCTCCAATTGTATGAAAAAGGTATTTCTGATGAATGATGGTTGGCCTCACAAAACTCTTATCAGCCTTTTTCTTGCATTTTTCCTTGAACTGAGCCCAAATCTCCCTACTGTCTTTGATTTTGCTCTGTTTTCTACTTTGACATTCCAGTCACCTATGATTACCAAACAATCCTGTTTTGTCATGTTGTCATTTTCTTCCTGGACTTTGTTGTAGAAATTCTAACTCCTACTAACTACTGGTGGAATTACTACACTGGAGGGAATTGGATTAGATGAGCCTTGAGTTCACTTCCAACTCTACAGTAATAAAATTCTATGACATTTCTCCTAATGTCCAGCCATTTCCCTTCCATTATTTCCAGAGCTTTCCTGAAAGGATGAAGGACAGAACAAACTGGGCAAATCCTGGGTTCTTGAAGTTTCACTTCAGGCTTTACAATGGCCCCATGATCTTTTTGGCCAACTGGATCTTTTTAACTAGAGACAAAATGAAATGAACCTGAGACCTTCTGTGTGTAAAGCATCCACTCAATCTCTGAACCATGATCAAGATGAGGGCTTAGCTCCACAGGAATCCTAGGCTACAACAATGGGAGTATAGCATTTAGATTGATGGAAGTAATGGTACCAGTCTATTCTGCTTTGTTCAGACCTCACCTGAAATATTGTGTCCAGTTATGGTCACCACAGTTCAAGAAGGATGTTGACAAGCTGGAGTATGTCCCGAGGACGGCAACCAAAATGGTGAAAGGTCTGGAGACCATACCCTATGAGGAGCAGCTTAGAGAACTGGGTATGTTTAGCTTGAAAAAGAGAAGTTTAAAGGGTGACATGGTAGCCATGCTTAAATATTTAAAAGGACATCATATTGAGGATAGAAGCTTGTTTTCTGCTGCTCCAGAGACTAAGGGCCTCGGCAGACGACTAAAAAAGTTGTCTCCGAGGCAGGGAAGAGGAGGGGCAGCCGCACGAGCGGCACCCCTTCCTCCTCCCGAGGTTGCCCTCAGAGCTGCCGGCCCTCCGCACGGCCGGCGCTCCGAGGGCAACCTCCCGCCGCAGCGTCCTCACAAAAGCCAGGGAAAAGCCAGGGAAAGTGCACCTGACACGTTTAGGGCGCACTTTCCCTGTTTTCTGAAAGGAGCGCTGATTTAGCGCTCCTTTCAGAGGCGCCAACGGTGCGCCGCGGTGCGGCTGCCGCGGTCCCGCGGCGCACCGTCCCAGGGCATCCCCAACGCCCTGGTCTGCTTCCCCCCAAAGACACTAGATGAATCCATTGCTTGATCCATAAGCAATGGATTCAAGCTACCGGAAAAGAGTTTCCATCTAAACATTAGGAGAAACTTTCTGATGGTGAGAGCTGGAACATGCTGCCTTGGAAAGTGGTGGAGTCTCCTTCTTTGGAGCTCTTTAAACAGAGGCTGGATGGGAGTGCTTTGATGGTATCTTCCTGCATGGCAGGGGATTGGACTGCATGGCCCTTGGGATCTCTTCCAACTCTAGGATTCTAGGACTCTTGGAAAGCCTTGCCCAGGATTAAAAGGCAGTGACAGAATCTTGGTTTGGGAAGCCAGGAATATGCTGTGTTTGCTATCATCTCAGGACCAGAGACAGTAACTTCTCTGCATGTAGCTTTGCTCACTTTCCAGCCAATTAACTCATTTCATGCTCAGCTTAACATTACCAAATGGGATTTGCTGGAAAGTTTGACAGGGTCATCTCCTTAGCAATGTAACACACCAAACTCCAACTCTCTGTTGACTCTGGATCCACACACCCTTTCCTCTTGCTTGTCACCCCAGATGGAAAGTAAACTATCCCATCCATCCACACAGAGGCAGTTTTAGACAAAAACTTCAAGGGGAGTAGACCCAAAGTAATTTAAGTAGTGCAGCAATTTGGGTTTTCTTCAGCAACATCAGAGTTATCACTGGGGGGGGGTGTGTGCAGGGATGTAGGCTATACCAGGTGACATCCCAAGGAGGGAGTGACACCACTGCTTCCCAAACATCTGCCCTTTGGGAATTCCCATAAATACAGTGGGACTTAATAAATCTAAGTCCCATAAATACAATGCCATAATAAAATGGCATCCCTTATATAAATTGGCAAAATCAAGGTTTGCTTTTCGGAATTCAAAATTTTTAAAAAGATTTTCAAGCCGTGGATGGTTGAATCCATAGATAACGAATCTGTGGATACGAAGGGGTGACTGTATTACCATTATATAGAGTGATATTTGGAAATTATGATTTACGAGTAACATTAGTACAAAAACATTGCTAAGGATTCTGTATGGTTTGGTATGGGAGGTAGTCAGTGGGGAGGGGTGAGAGCATGAGTTACCACACTGGGTGATGCCAACCCTAGTGATGCCACTGAATGTAGTTGTGAAGATGAGGAGGGAGATAGATGAGCAGAGAGCAATAACTGTTTCTCAGTACCATCAATATACCTCTTGATTTCATGGGATTGCAGAAACAGCCCCTATGCATTCCCCATAGCACTGTGAGGCAATAAGCAAGCACATTGGTAGATAAACAATGCATTGCGCAAAGCTGGTGCTCAGCAAAAGGGTGGTGTATCAGAGCCACCATTCAGCTATGTATGAGTAGATTTCCTCTATGAAAGCACAATGCACGATCCTAGTCAGTGTAATTTTTGGCAGTGTACAGCATCCTCATCTGACCTCTACTTAAATACCTCCAGTGAAGAAAACTCACTACCTCCCAAGGCAGATTGTCCTGCCAAGTAGTTCTTACCCTGAGGAATGGGAATGCTGTAGATATAGTGTATGCTGATTTCAGTAAAGCTTTACAAGCTGGTAAATGTGGACCAAATGCAGGTGGATTTATAACTGAAGTTTTCAACATCCTGGATAAGTGGGGTACTGCAAGGTTCTCTTCTTGGCCTGGTCTTGTCCAACATCTTTGCAAATGTCTTGGAGGAAGGAACAGATGGCACATCATTGAGCAAATTTCCAAACCACAGACCAAAAATGGGAAGCACATCAGAAAAAAGAAAATATTCAATATGAACTGAACAAATTGCAGAACTGGGCCAAAACTAACCAAATCAATTTCCACAGGGATAAATGTATAGTTCTACATTCAGGCAGGAAAAATCAGAATTACAAATACAGAATAGATGACACCTGGCTTGACATGCAAAAAGGATCTGGGGTCTCAATAGACCACAGGCCAAACATACGTCAATAGTGTGATGTGGCAGCTAAAAAAGCCAATGCAATTCTGGCTTGCATCAATAAGAGTATAGTTTCTAGA